ACATACAGACACACACACAGAAACAAGGCAGAAAAGCAGAATCTGTCCTGAAATGAACTCAGCCCAGGATGAAACATTTAACTGTGACTCTGTGATCAGTAATACAACTTAAACAAAGACTGAGACTCTTCATCCAACACTGATAATTTACTTTTCTTTTTTAATTCACCCTATAATCAACCCTAACCCTCATGTTGACGTTGGGCGAAGTTACCAGAGTTTAAAAGACTCTGACATAAATCCCACAGAGCAAAACTCATCATGTCAAACTGGCCTACTTTCCACAGCATCTTGAAGACGCTCTAGAAACAGCAGCTGCACATGTGCTCAGTGTGTGCATGCACTGTACCATCGCCTCTCAGCTGTTTAACACGAGCTCCTGCTACTTTATGTTCTTGTTACATGGAGTGCTTCTCTCATATGTTTTTGTAAGCAGCTTTTGGTGCTGCTTTCAAGTGATCCTTTTTAGGTCATACTAGAAAGCTTTAGATTTGTAAGCACAAACTATCATGCATACACAGGCTTTTTTCAGGATTAATAATAAAAAAAAAAATGTCCCTGCTAGAAGATTAATCTCATTAGGATTTCAGAATGAGAAAAAACTTCATTGGGCATTGGCCAAGCATGCAGACTCATAAGAGATAATGTAAGAAAACATCCATCAGGCATGTAAGTGATGTTATAATTCATTAAAACGGGCGACTGTTAAAACCAAGGATTTAAAATAAAATGATGCTAAAGGATGTGGGTCAAAAAGACACATATGTTCATGGTTTGCACCCTATAATCATCTCACTCTAGGGATGATGGAAACATATTTATCCTTTACCTTGGTGTCAAGTATACCAGAACATGCTGAACACAAGCACAGCTGACAAGAAGTCTTCTTCTGACGAGAGTGAAAGTTCAACCTATAAAGCAAACTCACTGAGATCAAACTGTAACTAATCAAAGTTGTAGAGATGAGAAAGTACAGGAATTACAAACTGGGCCACGGGTGAATAACACAGTGTTGTGATCCTTGTATGAAGTAAGATAACATCCGAAACAGCTTATCAGACTTCGCACAGACAACTCAGACAGACCATTTCTATAGAAAGTCACTGTAACAGGTCCTAACTCCTAATCCCAGAATGATGTGTGTTGTTTTTAAATGTGGGCTGGCACTTCTCCTTTCTTTTGCTGTTCAAACAACTGCCACTCAAGCAGAAGTTAAAATGTGCAATAGTAGTTAGCAGTTTTATACACTGTATAAGTGTGAGAGTGACAAACAAGCACAATAACTTGAGGGAATGTGAAGAGATGAAAGAAAATTATAAGTTGTATGACTTCCAGTTATTTCATTCAGTATTTATGTAATTATTCTGCTCCACAAACTAATAGTAGTTTTTGGAAGTTACTCACCAGCATGACGACACACCAGTTGAGGATCCCTCTGTAGTTGCTGTAACCGCTGGCTGAGCTCAAGAGAGACTCCTGGAGGACGTGACAGCTGCAGGGAAACAAACAGAGATAGCTGATCGATTTGTAGAGTGTATCAAGCTCTTCACATTCCTTCTGTTTATCACCGGTTGCGTCCCCCTTTGCCACTCTCAAACCTCGGTTGAGGAAACTTTCAACAGCATCTTGAAACTAAACACGACTGGAGGGTATGGAGAGGTCAGAAGATTTTTGCATTTCGATGACAGTGTTTGTGTTTGGTTTGAAGGCGGCTGCGTGATTCAAACTGACAACTCATTGTGACTCATTAGCCTACAAATTATTTAGAGCGGGCGGGGGGTCGCTGAGCAACACGGTAAGAGACTATTTCACAAATTTCACAAACAGTGTTGAGTTCCTGCTATGTGGCACAAATTCACATTTCTTGAGAAAAGTATTTTTATAAATTTAATTTATGTGACGCATTTACTCGCCTAGACTTACAAGAGTAGTTAAGAAACCCAAAGTTAGTTGAGATACAAGTTATTTTTTAGTCCTAGTGGCTGTTTGAGCCTACAACTGCACCAGGCAATAAATAAAACTGTGAAAATGTGGATTATAAAAAGGTATTGACCGCATTGTCCAAACAGCATTGTGAAAACTGAGGCTATTCATCAGGCAAGATGTTTTACACAATGGAGAGGAGAACAAGGCGCAGGAAGGAAAGGGAATACAGTAATAAGGATGGAAAAGGGGAAAGAAGAGGAGAGGAGAAGAAGGAATAATAATAATAATAATAATAATAATGCGGTATTAAAGAGAGAAATGTGGACAAAGGGGGGCAGATGAAATAAGACAATGAGGGGCTGGAGTGAAGTAAAAAAAAGAAAGGAGCATTCAAGGACAGGAAAAAAGTATAGGGGTTCCTCAATGAATACGTGCCAAGAAGAGCGTGCAGACAGATGTGCTCAGCAGGCACAGTATTGCAAAATAACACGACTGCCAGCTATTGCTGTGATTCAGGAAAGTGACATTGCACATGTACACCTCACCTAGTTGGCCAGGCTCCAATAAAAGTATAATAAAGTCTAATTTTATTTTAGCATGTTGCAGTGTCCCTTACAATACCACTCTTTACATCTTTACAAGTCCAAAGGATGTAAAAAAAAAACACCAGTCAGAAAATACATGCGTTCAAAGGCAAAGACATATCTAGAGATGAGGCTGTGTTATCATTAAATGAATGTTATATTTAGGGCGGGGGTCGGACTATTGTGTCGTCCAAAACTTACAGCTACCCTTCTCTCTTTCACGTGAAGAAAGGCCGCTGAAATGATGGCTTCCTTTAGTGTACAAGGTTCATTTATTTATCATTTTGCAACACAGGGTTGTACAACGAAATGCAAGTTGTAGTCCATTTATGCCACACACACACACACACACACACACACACACAAAATACATGGATAAATGAATATTAAGTCATAAAAGATAAATGATTCTTTATGGTGGAGTGTGGAGGTCTGGTGGTACGGCAGCGTGGGCCCTTATCTGTTGTCAGGCGGTATGTTTTGGGCTCTGCACAGACACCGAACCTCCTGTTATCATCACCAGTGATGTTCTGGGCAGCTTTAAATCACTCACTGTACAGCTCACCAGTCCTGGGCCGTGCACATCCCATGTCAGCTTATAATGTTTCCAGTCTGGATGCTTTCTCTTGGCTTGGCATAGAAGTGTTGGCTTCTTAAGCTTCCTTAAATAATATAGTTGTTCCTGAGCTTTCTTTATCGGGGTGGATGCTGATTCTAAAAACCTAACCTTAAACCACTATCATGTATGGGCTTGCTACTTGGACGAAATAATAAGTCTTCCTCAAAGCCTCACATACACAAAACAACCGGTTGTGGCAGTTTTTCCTGTTCTCTGATAACAGTGGTTGGGGCCAAAGCTTAATGATTTAAAACGGTGTAAGAAAACTTAAACATAAATATTTCTGTGAAGAAAACTAAATGAAATTCTTGTTTTAAAAGTTTGTATTATTATTTAAGATTTTTAAAATCTAAAGGACCTAAACACAAGGTATATTCACAGAGCCTTCACTTGGTGATAAACAGCTTTGTCCTGCAGTAGAAAAGTTAAAACAACCAAAGAGCTAATAGGACAATGGCCAAGAAACAGCGAGAAGGAAACACTTTTGTCAAAAAATAAGCCAATTAAGTATGTAT